CGTCACTTATATCCGCCGTTGCAGCAATCCCTTCCAACCACCATTGAAGAATATAAAAGCGAATGGAGTGTCGACGGTGAACATTATTGCACGTTACTGTCCTTACAATATATGCCGAATTTTACAGCGCACTGGAAATTTCTGAACCACGCTTTCTCAATAACAAGCATTTAGTTCTGAACTTCACACAAGCCACCGGATGGATACACTTCATCTTTAGACACACCCTTCCAGCCAGTTTGATGAACCGTTCCAATGACAAATTTAGCTCATTATTCTTCCTAGGCCGGTTCTACTCAACCCAAAATTGCTGCGTGTTCTGTCGGTTTACTGTATCAGATTTAGTGGATTCTACACATTGCAGTAGGCAAGGCGGATAATTTGACCCGAAAATGATTTAACTGACGAATTTCGGTGAGACCACATAGCTCAGATGGCTAGAGCAGTGGCTGAACTTAAGCCTTCACCATTGCTGCCGTCCGTTCGAATACTGTTTGTGAAAATAAATGCGGAAACACGATTGCAGACGAGGGCATCAAGATCGAAATGCAAATTTGCTGTATCTGTGAGATCAAAATATGCACATTATTCCTCAAATGTGATATTCGGAAGCATTTAAAACCAGTATCCTCAGAGACCCTCATGACGATGGCACATTAATATCAGTAACATTAGCATCCAGAGCGGTCACCAGATTCGTAAGAGGATTGTGCAGTGATTTACCGTACTATCAACATAGATATTAGCTAAAAGCCCAGTAGCTGAGGAATTACAGCTCAAACGTCCATATCAAAATTTGGACGGTGCTTGAGAAGGTCGGTTTTATTTTTTTTTATTTTATTTGGTAAGGATAATAGGCAAAGCCTTTGAAAACCCTATTGATTACATGTCAGCTCGTTAGAATAACTGTACACGAACAAAAATATTCACTATTAAAACAGTACTTGGTTCATTTGAGAAGCATTGTCTCAGAGGAAATATTTGTGGGGACCAGGGTTACTAGTTCAGATTCAGACCGTCGAGGGAAAACAGGGGACACAAATAAGCATCCAAGCGTTTCTTGAAGAGTTGCAGGGATGTAGCCTCCACGACTGACTGAGGGAGATCGTTCCATTTCTCCACTACCCTCTGCGTGAAAAACTCAGAACGAAGATTCAGCCTGGACATTTTTGTCCGTAACTTCATCGAGTGACCACGAAGATTGGGTGAAAGATGCCACTGAAACATGTCCTCAAATTTAAGTCCATACTCAAGGCCATGTATTATCTTGTAGACGAGGATAAGATCACCTCTTTGCTGCCTGTAACACAGAGGGAATAAATTAAGGCAATTCAGTCTGTCTGTGTAGGAATGGTTTTTTAGACCGTTTACCAGCTTTGTTGCACGCCGTTGTACCCCTTCGAGGCATTCTTGGTCCTTTACCAGCCATGGCCGCCATGCTTGTATGCCATATTCTAAGTGGGGCCGAACAAATGTGCCGTAAACTCTCCCAAAAAGGTCTTGGTCAAAATTTATGAAAGCCCTTTTTATTGCATGCAGCACTCCCATGGCGTTTTTTGCAGCCTTGTGACACTGCAGTGTTGGTTTCAGGTTGTTCTGTATCCAAACCCCGAGATCCTTCTGTGAAGATTCTGCGAAGAGCCTTTTATCTTTCAGGTGATATGTCCTCAAGCCCTCATTTGTATGAGAGTTGGTTGGACGCAGATGAAGGACGGCACACTTCTCCACATTGAAATCTAGAAGCCATTTCTTCGACCACGCTTGCAGTCGGAGCAGATTATCTTGAAGGGATCTTTTGATCATTCGGACCCTTAATGATTTGCCAGAGCTTAACGTCGTCTGCAAACATTATTTTGCCGCAGTCGAGTTCCTGAAGGCTGTCATTAACGTAAAGGATGAAGAGCAATGGTCCCAGAACTGAGCCTTGCGGCACACCACTGGTCACGTTCACCCATTCTGACATATCATCCCCGATACAGACACGTTGTTTCCGACCAACCAGAAACGCCCTAATCCAGTTCAGAAGATCTCCCCGGATGCCGATGTTGATCAATTTGTGAAGAATACGTTGGTGTGGGACAGTGTCAAAAGCTTTGCGGAAATCGATGTACACGACATCGACCTCAAAACCCTCTTCTAGAGCACTGGTCCAGATTTCCAGACAAGCTAGCAGATTTGAGAGGCAGGAACGTCCTCTCCGGAAGCCATGTTGAAAATCCTGTAAGATGTTATTTTCTTCACAAAATTGCTGTATAGCGTTCATTACTTTAGCTTCCATCGTTTTGCAAGGGAGGCAAGTTAAGCTAATAGGTCGAAAGCTGCTTGCTGTCATCCTGCTACCTCCCTTGTGCAATGGAACGAGGTTAGCTGTCTTCCACTGTGAGGGCAGCCTTCCTGTTCTCATTTACGGCTCAAAGAGAGTCGAAAGAGGCTTTGACAGCTCCGTTGATAGCTCCTTAAGTATCAGCCCGGGAATTCCGTCGGGTCCAGGAGACTTATAAGGTTTAATTTGACTGAGGACGCGTCTGACTTCTTCCAAGTTCCTGCATTAGATTCCTCGAAAATTAAACGAGACTTCAAAGAGGATGTTGACGTGTGATTGCAAATAACGAAGGTAAAAAGGTGCAGAAGTACTTTATTGACAGTATTCAAAATGTTCTTTGGAGGGCGTTTAATGAGTAGACTTTTAATAGATATCAATGTGTGCAGTATGTCCAGTATGCATTAAAGTTCTTGATATGGCTGTTTGTAAAGAATACAAGACATATGAAATAAAACTCGATCAAAAGCAGAAATTTGACATCGCGGTCTCGCTGGAGTTCCTGTCATTGAGCCGAAGGGTACCGCTCACATCAGGAACACCCAGAAGTTAAACAGAGTGGCACACACTACAGGGAGAAGCAAGAGTACAAGTCAGCATTAGATTTCTAAAAATGTTATGCCTGAATAATCCCAGCTGCATTTTTAAACATTATATTTTGTCCTCGTTTTCAATAGCTTCATGGGCTTAGAATAAGACTCTGTCACAGCATTTTCAATTCGCGTGCCATATTTTGGCAAATCCTTCAAGACCAATGCAAGAGCAATTTGTTATCAGCATCTTTCCACAAGCTCGCCAAAGACTTTCTTAAGCACATTTAAATCGGACTAGATACAGGAAACATAGATCGGCGATCATTCATTCCTTGAGAAAATAAGAAAATTACGGGAATATCAGAGTATTAAGAACGAACAAACTCCTTTTCATTCAATAAGACTGCCGCTGTATAATAATTTTCGTATAACAAAACAGCATTTACTTGGGCCCCTAGTTCCGACGTACCTATTGGTTTCTCCGCCCCTGAAGTGGCTGTTTGTTGCACCATTTGCGCTTTGGTGACTGGTCCAGGATTACGTTTAGAAAAACCTATAATATGAAAAAAAATGTTTTCAACAAAACTCAGCAAATAGGTCTGCATGTCAAATGTCAAAAAGGCATAAACATTGCATTAGCGATTCCGAAAACCAACCTCTCCAGTCAATAATGTAGGTCACTGTCCTAGTTTTCTGCTTGTCTGCGTAACAGCAGTAGAAATACTTTGTTGTATTTCTGTTACGTACATCACCACCAACTGTTGTACGACCATCATTCATAAAGTAGCCTAAAGGATATCCAATGAGTAACGTGTTACACATGTGTTCTATGCGCAGTAACATATCAGTGATGACATGAAGGATTTAAGATTCAATTATTTCGGATGTTGCTACACTTGTGTAGTTATGTAGTCACTGGGTGTCGCATCACAAGAGAAATAGTCACCAGGGGAATGTAGATTACGAATTACTTTCATATCCAGACACATAACTGCTGTCTCACATAGGTTGTCAACGTAGTGGGGCAGATGTCAATAATATAGAACCTCAGGATTATGAAAGCGCATGAATCTGCTTCAAATTTCCCTCTGCTACCTTGTTATATAAAGGAGTAAGCACATCAGGTCTGGAAAGGCACTTTGTGGGCCACTCAGAATATCCGGGGCTACCGTCTTCCACCCGTCACACACAACGGTTTAGTAAACTTGGCTATAAACAATCTTGGCCTTGTGGTGCTAGTAGTGGTAGCATAAGCAATGATATCAGTAGCGGAATTAGTAGTAGTCGTAAAAATTAAAAGCGCTGAATAGAATAACTGAGCGAACGGATATTTCCGTATTCTGGCCTTCGAAGACAGATTAAACAGCTATCCCCCAGCATAACCTATAAAAGTGCTTCAATATTCACAGATGTCGATTGCGTTTCCGAGAAGCAATAAGCTTAAGACAGAAACAGACAACTGCGATCATCAGGGTTTTACGGAAATCAGCCATCATTCTTTTCCTCAATTTCGAATGACTGCGACACGTTTGAACAGTAGATGAGTACTGTACGTAAGCCATGCATCTGCCAAACGAAAAAAGGCAAAAAAATCTTATCGATGTGGGGCTCCGTTTGTGATAGAACCGAGTCTTTTCCTCAGATGTTTTACCTAGCAGAAGGCTGAAGGGAAGAGTCAACACGGTCGAATGGTCAGGTTCAGGAAGAAAGACACTTTTAAGGGCGGAATTTCTGCGTCTGCGAATAACTACAGGCCAGTGAGTCTTACCTGCACCTGTTGCATCATCATGGAGAAGATCATTAGGAAGGCCTTGATGCAGTTCCTCGAGCAGCACCACCTCCTGTCTGACGCACAACACGGCTTTCGAAGTGGTAGGACATG